GAAAGCAAAAGAAAAAAAAAAAAAAAAAAAAAAAAAAAAAGAAGAAAGAAAAAAAATATCACAACAATGAATATGGAAAAATAAATATTCTAAGGCCGCAAGACAAGAGAGATACCAACACAACTGACTTTTCTATGTAATTAAGCCACAACAGTTGTAAATGCTTTATAAATGTAGCTCCAGCCACCCACCTGTCCACATTCAATACATCCATAACCAAACATGGTCATAAACATGCCAAAACCAAAAAGCAAATAATAGTATCTGTTAACCCATGGAGTCCTTCTCTGCTAAGAAAAAATACCTTAAAGAAATGTTAAGCCCTGGCTCTGGGTTACTGTTTTCTAAATCTCAGCCACCTTCTAGAACCTCAACGAGTCACCCAAGAAGAGTCAGCAGGATCTGGCATTAGTTCCAATCCTCCCACCTACCCCTCTTAGACAAGAAATAGAAGTATTAAAAGATGCAACAGATCTTCAGTGTAGACTTGATTTTCTTTGTTCAGGCTACATTTTAATTAGGGAAGAATTAATAAGCTTTCTCAAAAGTATAATTCATACAGGGCATGGTGGTGCATGTCTATAATCCCAGCACTCGGGAGGCTGAGGGAGGAGGATCGCTGTGAGTTTGAGACCAGCCTGGGCTACATAGTGAGTTCCAGGTCAGTCTTAACTACATAGTGAGACCCTGTCTCAATCAATCAATCAATCAATCAATCAATAAATAAATAATTCAATAAAACTAAAATTAATCTCTGCTTTTTAAATCAAATGAAGCTTTAGTCATTCAAAAATAGAAAAAAGTAGAAGATACTAGTGGTAAAATTAATATATTTCAAAGGCCTATTGCATAGTTTTACCTTTTTAAAAATAGAGTGCTTCTTCAGCAGCACATATACTAAAAATAAAAATTAAAGAAAAGTTTCAAAAATGACAAAATTTCCATATACTCATCACCCAACTTCCTCTATTATCAGCATCTTACATAACCATAATACAATTTACAATGATCAAAACCAGAAGTTAACAATGACATAACACTATTAATTCATCTATACATCTTAATTAAACCACTAAGATGGTTTCTGTCCAGGGTTTCACATTGTGTTTATTTCTCTTTAGGCTCCTCTCACATAGGACAATTGTTCAGTCTTTCTGTAATGACTTCCAACATTTTGAAGAATCTAGAAGTTACTTTCTAAGGTCTGGGGATTTAGCTCAGTGATTCTGCTGCCTGCCTTGCAAGTGGAAGGTCCCAAGTTTGATCCCTGGTACCAATAAAAAAAAAAAAAAAAAAAAAAAAAGTTATTTTTCTAGGATGTCCCTAAATTTGAGTTTTTTCCTGCTGCCTCATTAGATTGGAGTTATGTGCTCTTTTTTGCTTTGTTTTTTTGGTAACAGGGATCAAACTTGGGACCTTGCACTTGCAGGGCAGCAGTGGAACCACTGAGCTAAATCCCTGGCCCGAAGTTATGTATTTTTGGGCAACAATCCTGTACCATTCTGTCTATCCTGTCAGCAGGGTGCTCACTTCAGCAGCATATATAATGTATGTCATGACAGGAGGTACATGTTTTATTTTGGACACAGGGTCTCGCTGTATAGTTCACTCTGACTTGAACTCACTACGTCACTCAGGCTGTCCTCAAAGTCACAGCAATCCTCCTGCCTCTTCTCCACCAATAGGTCTTTCTGCTGAAAATTTTCGTCAGCTTTACCTATCAACAAATTCAATTTTCAAGGTCTAAAGACTTGCTGATTCTTTTAACTTCTAATTTTGTCTAACAAAATTACTTAGCTGATTTGAGATAACAAAGGCCTACAATCATACCACATGGCAATTACAACAAGGACAAGTGAGCAGTGAGCATGGCTAGTGACTGACCTTTGTATTCAGGGGTGAACTCCTTCATCTCAGGAGGGAGGGACTCATAGAAGCGCTGCTCTCTGGAGATGAGAGGCTTGCATACAGTGTGGTCGTCATAACGCATCATGCTGCTGTGTCCACCCACTTGGTGGATGAAGGGCTCCAGGAGGACTCCTCGGTCTCCTGCTCGACCCGCGTTCTTGCCATACTGCCCCACTTCCATGGTTTGACAAACACACATTGCGTTGGGAGCCAGTTGCACACTGGGGACACAGGTTGCAGCACATGGGCCACAAAATAAGAGCTAAGTAGAAGGTCTCGGCAACCTGAAGGCAACAGTCACAGTCTGCTCAGCTTCTTATTCTGCCCTACAGAAAAGACAAGAAAAGGGAATCAAAACATCTGTGATGCTGGAGCTATGAATGTTACAGCCATCAAAGAAGCAACTATCTCTGTTTACTTTGCGTTCAAAGAAGAAGGGATCAGGAAAAAAAAAAAATTTGTTTTGCTCAGGGTCTCTTCCTAATTCAAAGGAAGGGTATTTACTGAGAAATCAGGTCGCAGCGGTCTCCCAAATTATCTGCTAAAGGTTTCACGGATGAGATAGGAAAAGCCATTCCTTAGTAAATTGTAAAATCAGAAAAAAATGTTTTGCTTTTCTCAGGGTAATTCTGATTTCAGATGTCTTCCATTTTCAATAGACAGCTGATAATTTATGATTATGTCTAGCACCACAGAACATCCCTTTCTGTGTCAACCAGCTGGACAGGGAAAAGGTCTTTGTACTCAAATACCTTCCCTATAACATCAATTTTCTCTAAAGAAAATTAAAACAGTTGCTAACTTTCTTACTAGAAAGTTTTTGAATCAGGAATGTACCAGACAAGACTATACCTGAAACCAAATAAAAATATTTGTAGAGCAGGAATATGATCCTGCCTGCAAGAGATAAAACACTGTTTGGCAGACCTCATAATTATGAGCAAATGGGCTATATAAGAATAATGCAGGGCCGGAGATTTAGCTCAGCGGTTCAGTGGCCTGCCTCGCAAGCGCAAGGAGTTTGATCCCCAGTACCACAAAAAAAAAAAAAAAAGAATAACGCAAGTCAAGTGTGGTGGCACACGCCTGTAATCCTAGCACTTGGGAGGCTGTGCGGACTAAATGAGGGGGGCTTGAAAGAAGGGGAAATGGGAAAAAAGAGGTGAGAGGTATCATGTACAGATGCAAATTCCCTATGAGTGTTATCATTATGTATGTCTAAAATATACCAAAAAATGTTTTACTATTAAAAAAATAACAATGTGTTCAAGGCCAGCCTGAACTACCAGAACTAAAAGGAAGTAAGAGCTGCTGTGGTAGTATCTACTTGTAATCCCAGGATTCTAGGAGGCTAAGGCAGGAGCACCAACACAAATTTGAGGCCAGCCTAGGCTACACAGTGAATTCAAGGTTTCAAGGTCAGCCTGAACTACATAGGAAGACTCTTTCAAAAACAGAAAAGAAAGACAGGAAGGGAAAAAGATTTGTGTGCACCCTGAACCAATTAGAAACTGAGTGAGACTTCTCAAAACAAAAGGGCTAGGGATATAGCTCAGTGCAAAGACCCTAGATGCTTGTCCTAATATCACAAAAAAGAATGAACTAGAGGAGCAGGACCATAGGGTTTTGAGAAGGATCCTTAGGAAATCACACTCAGTGTTTCAAGCTCTGCTTTCAGAGTACATGTTCTTTCTTTCAGATGAGTATCCACTTTTTGTGATGACTTGGTAAGCTATTTACTAAAGAAATCTTCTGATAAAAAGAATTTCATACTTTTCTATAGAACAGTCTGTACCAAGTGTGTAATGGATTAAAAATTATTTTACTTTGAAACATTTAAAAATAATATTCCAAGCTGGGGATATAACTCAGTGATAAACCACTTGCTTCGCATGTGTGAGACCCTGGGTTCAATCCCCAGCACTCAAAAAAAAAATATTTTTTCCACTGGTAAAGCCTGATACACACACATCAGGATATACTAGTACAACTCCTGTCTAAGGAACATAATCTTGAAAGAGGAAATGAATAAAAATTATAAAGTATTTAGATCATTGTGTTTTGATCACCATGTCTTTTTTTTAACTGAGTCTGGTGTTCATGTTAGGGTCAGAATCAGGTCCTAGGAAGAAACAGGAAAAGGAAGAACATAGCTAGATCATGGTTTGTCAAAACATATAGTTTGGCTAAAAGCGGTTTTGTGCCCATAAAATCACCCTAAATTGGTTTCAAACATTTTAGTATATAAAGCGCATCTCCCGCACCCTGAAGAAAAGCCCACAGGCTCCTAGGGTTTTCCAGGATAGCTGCATGTTCCTTAGCACTGTCATAGCCTCCAAAGCAGAGGAAGAAGCAGCCATTCTTTACAGACTTGAACACGAGAGGAGGAAATAAGGTGACAGTGATCCTCTTCCATGCCAGTGATTGGTGTTCTCCATTTAGTCTGTACCGCTTATCCTAATCATCGGAAGTTCATATTAAAATGGTTAAATCTCTAGAGTGGCTGAGGCAAGATGGGTCAAAGTCACAGTGGTGCTCATGATCATGGAGGTGGTAAGAAGAATGACAGGACAAGAAAAAAAAAATGAACCTCCTGTACCAACTAGAGGGGGTAAAAAGGAGAAGAAAACAAAGGGGCCAGATGCTGCCAGCAAACTGCCACTAATGAAACCTCATGCTCAGGGCCACTTAAAACTACTCAAGTTAGAGAGAATTAAAGACTATCTTTTCATGGAGGAAGAATTTACTAGAAATCAGGAACAAATGAAATCATTAGAAGGAAAATGACGAGGGAAGGTAAATCTTAGGGGGTGGGGATTTAGCTCAGTGATGCCACCTGCCTTACAAAAACAACAACAAAAACTAACGGGTTAAATTTTGCAGGTTAGGGAGTGTTCCCCCAGACATCATGGGGTGATTTGTCTCTAAGTTTGTGCACGTTGAACTATAGTAGAATTCAACATTGGACTCAACACTGAAGCACAATACAATTTCAATCAGAATCCTAAGAGAAAGCTGGGCACAGTGGCAATGCCTATAACTGAAGTACTTGGGAGGCTAAGACAATTCTAAGTTCAAGGCCAGACTGACTACAAAGACCCTTGCTCAAAAATATAGGAAAAGCTGGATGTAGTGGTGCACACCTATAATCCTAACACTTGGGAGGCTGAGGCAGGAGTTCGAGATCAGCCTGGCTACATAGTGAGTTCCAGGTTAGTCTCAACTACATAGTAAGACCCTGTCTTAAAAAAAAAAAAAAGGGAAAAATTTTTTTTTTGCCATGCTGGGGATTGAACTTGGCCTTTCACATGCTAGGCAAGTGCTAGTCCATTGAGCTGCACCCCCCCCAGACTAAGAGAATTTTCTGATAACTTGAGGAGCTGACCCTATTCGTGTAGAAGAGATTAAAGCACAGCTAGAAAGCAACATCAAACAACAATGAAAATAATTTGACTTCTCAAGACAGCAAAGCTCTTTATAAAATGATAGCAATTAAAACAAGAGGACTGGGGATGTGGCTCAGTGGTGGAGTGCTTGTCTACCATACATGAGACCCTGTTTTCCATTCCCAACACTGCCCACTCCCCAATATAGGATGACATTTTGAAAAGAGAGAAGCAAATAAATCAATAAAACAACAATCCTAGAAGCAGTATGTGATGACATGGGGGTGGAGAGTGTAACTGAGGCGGTATTTAAACCCCCATTTAATCAACTAGGAAAGGACAATCTATGTCATAAATGGATCTAGAATACTAGAACGTCACATGGATAAAGTTACATTACTACCTCCAACAATGCTCCAATAAATCCTAATGATTAAGGACTGAAATGTACAAATAAACTTTAAGGTAACTAGAAAAAAAAATTAAATGCTTTTGACAACAGATGAGGGAAAATTTCAGAAACAAAAAAAACATAAACCATGGAAAACAATGGCAAATTAGATTACATAAAAATTACATAGCAATTACTTAATCTTAACATTTTTATTGAGGCATATTTGTACATCATAAAATTCACTAATTTTTCAGTGTACAGTTAAATGACTTTTAGTAAATTTAAGAACCTGTATCACCACTCCTATAATCCAATTTTGACATAGTTCTAAGGGACTAGGGATGTAGCTTAGTGACAGGATGCTTACCTAGTATGCATGAGACCCTGAGGTTGGTCCCCAGTATCACAAAAAAAATATATACAAAAGCATGGAAAAATGTCTTCAGACATTGTTATGTGTTCCCTGGGAGGCAAAAATTTCCTGATTTAAAAACACTAATATAAGCTGGGCATGGTGGAACATGCCTGTAATTTCAACATTCAGGAGGCTGAGGCAGGAAGATCACAAGGTTCAAGGCCAACCTAGCCTGCATAGAGAGTTTGAAACCAACCTAAACTACAAAGCGAGACCCTATCCCCAAAGACAAAAATAAATAAATAAACACACTAATATAAAACACTTCACCCAAATAGATCCCTCCTGCCCACATGCACGCTCTATTCCCACCCCAACCACATTAAGTTCATTTTTTAAATAAGAGGACTGTAAGTAAAGATAATGGGAAAAGGCTATTCACAAAAAAGTTGGCTATTAAACTTGTAAAAAGGATATCTCCTTTCACAAGTAATCAGGGAAATGCAAGTTAAAATTTCACTCCCATATGATTGGAAAAGTATAAAAAGTTTAAACATACTGTTGACCAGCCAAGGAGAAATGTCTCCTCTCAATTTGGCAACTCAAAACCAAATACAGTACACACAACCCTCTAGAACCCACCACATGCCCAAGATGGCAAATTCAAGGATATTTACTGCACCACTGTTAATAAAAGAAAAATGGGAACCTACTTGAATGTACATCTAGTGAAGAATGGGTATCAGATGATAACTTGCATATGTCAACATGAATAAATCTTGAACCAGCTATGGTGTCACATGCCTATAACCCCAGCAGGAGGCAGGAGGATCACCAGGCTTTGATTTGATTTATTTATTCTGGGGGGGTACTGGGCATTGAACTAAGGACTTGCACTTGCCAGGCAGGTGCAGCACTGCTGAGCTATAGCCCTGGCCCCGATCACCAAGATTTTAAGGACAGCCAGGGTTACACAGTGAGTTCAAAGACAGCCTGAACTACACAGTGAGACTCTTATCTCAAAAATCAATAAACAAACAAATTCTGAAACTAAAATGGAAAAAGCAAGTTTCAAAATGGTATTTCTAGGGCCAGGGATTTAGCTCAGTGGCAGCATGTCTGCCTCGCAAGTGCTAGGTCATGAGTTTGACCCCTCCACTCCCCAAAAAAGGTATTTCTAGCCAGGCATTAGTGGCACATGCCTGTAATCCCAGCAGGTTGAGGTAGAAGAATCCTAAGTGTGAGGACAGCCTGGGCCTTGTCTCAAAAAATTAAAGCTGAGTGCAAGCCTGTAATTCTAGCACTGAGGGAGGCTGAGGCAGGCAGATGCAATTTTTGAGTCCTGCCCAGGCAACTCTGGGAGACTGCATACCAAAATTTTCAAAAGGCTAGGAATGTAACTCTGTGCAGAGGCCCTCATTTGATCCCCAGTACCACTAAAAACAAAACAAAACCCCACAGCTGAAGAGAAAAATGGCATGGAAGAATATGCACCAACTTTAGAGCAAGAGAAAAGGAAGGGATTGGCATGTAAGAGAAACAAAAAAGTTTAGCTACCTTTATACTTTAAAAAAAATTTTTTTAGCCAGGCATGGTGGCACATGCCTATAATTCTAGCTCTTGGGAGGCTGAGGCAAGATCACCACTCTGAGTTCAAGGCCAGCCTGGGCTACCTAGTGAGTTCAAGGCCTGAACTACATGAGACCCTGTCTCAAAAAAAACAAAAAAGCTGGGTGTGGTGGTGCATACCTGTAATCCCAGGACTCGGGAGGCTGAGTCAGGAGAATCACTGTGAGTTCAAGACCAGCCTGGGCTACATAGTGAGTTCTAGCTCAGTCTCAACTATACAGTGAGACCCTGTCTCAGAAAGCCCTCCCAAAAAACAAAACAAAACAAAAAAACAAAAATTTTTAAAAACAGATATGGTAAAATGTTAACACTTAAAAATCCATATATCTGTATAAAGTATATTAGCATGTTATTCTCTTAACTTACATTTAATAAAAACAAGATCAGTCGGGGATCTAGCTCAGTGGCACTGTACCTGCCTCACAAGCACAAGATCCTGAGTTCGATACCCGGTACCAAAAAGAAAAAAAAAAAAAAGATCAATTTTCTATAGACCTGAAAGACTTGTATCAAACAGTAAACAATAGGGAAAGAACATTATGAACAGATTCCAAAGTGGGCTACTGAACATCAACCTAGTCCCTGGAAGATGGGAAAAACTGTTATAACTCCTTGGTGTTTCTTCATGGGCCTCAAATACTACTACTCTCTCCTCACTTTTCTGTTATTCAGTCTATTTAATTTGCTGGTTCTTCCTCTTCCCATTCTCTTATGTCAGAAGCCTTGGGGATCAACTGTTTTTCTTGCACACCAGACTCACATATCCAACTACCTATTCAGTCTGGGAATCTAAATTTAAGACTGGGCCAAAACAGAACTCATCTCTTTCCCTGAACAACAAAAATCTACTTACAGTCTTCCCCAGCCCCTACCTTATTTAAAACCCATTCCTCTCTTCTCTAAACCCCTGTATTATATAATCCTATTGGCTCCATCTTCAGAACATATCCAGATTCAAACCACTTCTTACTGCTTCCAATGCTACCACCCTTGTGTGATCCCCACCTCCCAAACAGCCTTTCTCCTTCTATCATCACCTTGCAAGTAGTCCATTCTCAAGACAGCAGCCACAGTGATTTTGCCAAGATGAGAGTAAGAGCATGTGACTTCTGTATTCAAAAATCCTACAATGATTGCCTCATCTCAGAATAAAAACTCAACTCCTTAACATAGCCTCCAAGAATCCACAAGATCTGAATCATTCATCCTTCCTTTCTTTCCTTTCTCTCCTTCCTACTTCCCCATCCCACAACCCTAAGCAGGAAAGTGAACCAGGCAGCTAAATCCAAAGGCATAGCTAAATTTTCCAGGATGACGTCAAACTTGTGATCCTATTCCCTTCAATTTCCAAGCAGCTATGATTACAAGCATGAAGTTCACTTTTACTTCCCTAGTTTTAAATAGCAACCCCCCCGCCCTGCAGAAAAAAAATAAAAAAAAGCAACCCCCACCTCAGGCTCCACTCTACTTGAGCTGCTTTATATACTTCAGTTACTGATGTCCACTGCTTTATTATTATTACTGCAGCTCCATAAACATATAAATCTTTGTCTATTCTGTTCACTACATATTATTGTTAAGTGCCCAGAGCAGAGCTGAGGCAGGAAAATCAGCTGGGCAAGTGGGCATGACCTGTCAATAAGGAAGAGGCAGGAAATGAACAGAAAACACTTCCCAAAGCCCTACACCTCGGGCCAATCAGAGAATGCTATCTTCAGTTCTTCTCTACGTTTTTGATATGATGGCCTGCCAAGTCTCTCCCGAGGAGTGGGAAACACAAAAGATGGCTACCACTGAGCTCTTGCCCACTGCACTTTTGTTTTTACAGTGGTCCACTCTCGCCCTGTAGTATATTTCTTTTCATACTTTTCATTGGCCTACACTCACTCTGCAGAGCATGTTTCTTTTCTAGTCTTTAGTAAATGTAAAACCTCACTACCTTTTTGTTCTTATCCTGATTCTTTGCTCTGTCTGGACAAGAACTACTCTCTACAGAGTCCCCAGCATCTCAGACCCCCGTAACAATGCCTGACAAAGGACAATTACACAAAAAATACAGCTGAATATATAAATATATGCATATGTATGAAGCACAAAACATATTATACAGAAGATATATGAAAAATGCTTAAGGGGACATCTTTTTTAAAAATATTAGGGTTGTAAAGCAAAGTTTACTAGACCGACCAAACCAGAACAAAGTAATGTGGTTTTAACAATGAAACAAATTGGCATGTAAGAGAATTCCCAATCAGCAAATAAAGGGAACACAAATTCTGCTTTTAAAAAAGTGCTAATATGTGAAAGAAAAACAAGTCTAACTGTACCTAAATAAGATTAGCAACAACAAAAGTCTAAACAACATTGCCTACCTTACACAAGTGCAAGGTCCCGAGTTCCATTGGATACAAAAAAATCTAAACAAAAATATAATTTATGAAGAACAGAATTAGTTTTTATCAGTAATATAAAGAGAAACATAAACAAAGGGGAGATAAATCAGGCACACACTGAAATAATCTCAACTGAATAAACAATGAACCAGACTTTTAAAAACCAGATTAAAAAATTTTTGAACCAAATTCAGGAGATATAATGTAACTAGCTTTTTGGCTTATCTATTTTAATTCAACAACATAGCAATGAATAAAAAGTCCTCACAAAGTCAGAGAATTTGCAATCAGATAAGGTGGCCAACAAGGTCAAACCTATTTTAAGAACTAGAAAGGCACTGTCTCCATAGCAAATGCAAGACAATACAGGCCATCAAATTCTTTATTCAGACACACTCAAAATGCAGATCAGCAGACATATATTCTTTTTCTTTTTCTTAGACATGTACTCTTAAACTCAGATTTCCAAATTCTGTTTACAATATACTTTTGCATGACTGTAAACCTAGCTCTTGGGAGGCTGAGGCAGGAGGATCGCTGTGAGTTTGAGACCAGCCTGGGCTACAGAGTGAGTTCCAGGTCAGTTTCAACTACATAGTGAGACCCTGTCTCAAAACAAACAAACAAACAAACAAAACCCCCCAAAAGCATAAAATATATTTTTATGGCCTCAGATTAACCATTAGAGTTTGATATGCAATCTTTTCATAAAATGAAGAATCCTTGGTTCCTTCACTTCACAGGTAATATTTGCAAATTTCCTCAACATATAGGTTTATAAATCCAGTATATCTGTTAACTCTTGTAAAATTAAGTATCTCAGGGCTGGTAGTACAACTCAGTTGTAGAATGCCCAGCATGCATGAGGGCCCAGGTTTGATCCCCAACACCACAAACATAATTTAATTAGCAGGGTGTGGTGGCACATGCTCATAATCCCAGCCACTCTGAAGGCTGAGGCAGGAAGATAAAAAATTGGAGGCCAGGGATATAGCTCAGTGGCACAGCGCCTGCCTAGCAAGCATGAGGTCCTGGGTTCAATCTCTGGTACCAAAAAAATATATATTTTTTTAGGTCGGCCTGGAGAACTTAGTAAAACCCCCACTTAAACTAAAAAGTAGAAAGGGCTAAGGATGTAGCTCAGTAATTAAGAGAGATCACCTAGCATGTGTAACTTCCTGAGGTTTTGTTTTGTTTTGGCAGTAGTGGGAACTAAACCCAGGGCTTTTAACCTGAACTACTTCCTCAGCCCTCTTTTTATTTTTATTTTATATATTGAGACAGTCTTGCTAAGTTACTAAATTGCCCAGGCTGGTCTTGAACTTGCAATTCTCCCACCTCAACCTCCCATGCTTTTTGTTTGTTTGTTTGTTTTGGTACCAGGGATTGAACTTGGGATCTTGCACTTGCAAGACAGACACTGGCACCACTGAGCTAAATCCCCGGCCCTCAACCTCCTATACTTCTGAAATTACAAACATGTACCACCACACCCAGCTAACCCAGGTTTAATCCTCAGTACCACACATTTAATTACTGCATTTAACTAGTAAAAGTATGGCAAAGGGTCACTGTCTTTCAAAACATCATTTTTTTTTAAAAATGGGGTTTCACTATTTTGCCAGGCTGGTATCAAATGCATAGGCTTAAGTGATTCTGCTGCCTTAGCCTCTGGAGTTGCTGGGACTAAGGTGTGCACCACTGCACCCCACTACTGTTGCTTTTTTTTTTTTTAATTTTGAGATTTCCTGTACCAGGGATTGAACTTGGGGCCTTGTGCTTGCAAGGCAGGAGGCGGAACCCCTGGCTTTTTTTTTTTTTTTAATTAAAATTAAACTTGGTAAGTCAGGATTGCTAAGTAAAATTATGGCAAAAGTATTTTGGGTTTTGGCAAATGTGTTTTTGGTTTGTTCTTTACTACCAGATACAATCCAAAGATAAAACAGCAAAATTACTTAAATCGAAAGGAACACAATGAATTAGTAAATTATTCTAACAGAAATGAATGACACATAAAGCTTGGGTTGCACAGCTCTGGATTTTATGAGAACTGATTCTAATTTCAGAAATAAAGCATTAAGTCAGGTGTAGTGGTGCACGCCTGTGATACCAGCACTTGGGAAGTTGAGGCAGAAACTACTGTGAGTTCCAGGCCAGCTTGGATTACACAGTGAGCTCAACACCAGATTGAACTACACAGCCAGACTGTCTCAAAAAACCAAGTGAAGCAAGCAAGCAAGCACTGAGATGGTCAGGAAAAGATACACAAACACCTTCAAACTGAGAGACAAAATCAAATAAGAAAGTGTTCTCTAAAGCAGATCTCCAATGGACCTAATTATTTCTTAAATTCAAGTCCATTCTTGCCTTTTGCATATATACACACACACACACATACACACACACATATCTGTGTGTGTATATACTTTTTTGGGGGGAGTATACTTATGAGGGCGAAAGAGACCAATCTTGCTTTCCCTCTCCCACCCTCATGGGATTGTGCCAAGCACATACTCAAAAAATCTCTCTCTTAAAAGAAAAATACAGGAGATGTTCCTGATATACGGAGGGCTACCAACCTAAACCTGCCCTTACAACCTACCAGGAACAAGCAGCATATACAAAGGCCGGGTGCAGTCTGGGAGATGTGAAACAAGTAGAGGAAAATGCTTAATGGGGTCTATTTTTCATTTGCTCCCAAAGAGATGGATTGTTTAGATTCCTGGGTCCCATCCTAGGAGTTAGGGAACAATGGCACACTGAGGACACCTGGTTGAAAGAAAACAAGCAGCAAGAAGGAAATTGCAGGGGATCTGAGATGTGCCAGCCTGTTAAGAAATGGCCACAATGGAATTAGAACAGGACAGAATCTAGGGTCCAGTGAACCTCATTCCTATTTTAACCTGGATTTCTAAGATTAGAAAACAGATATTTTTTTTTGTTTTTGGTACTGGGGATCAAACTCCAGACCCAGTGCTTGCAAGGCAAGTGAGGTGCTGTTGAGCTAAATCTCCAGCCCTGAGACACATTTTTAAAATAAGTGAAGATTCTGAAAATGGCTATTTCAACTGTGCTACATATGGAGTGGAAGGGAAATTGAAGACATAAGCCTAAAAAAATAAAAAAGGCCTGGCACAGAGGTGTGCACCTCTAATTCCAGCTTCATGAGAGGCTGAGGATGATCACTTAAATCCATAAATTCAAGATTAGCCAGACAACAAAACAAGACCCCACCTCAAGAAAAGGCACAAAAATAAAGGAGAAACAAATGTGCCCCAATTATGGATTAACAAGAAATCACAGGAATATCTGTGCTATGACTGACTAGTCCACCCACACAGGTGAGCCTTATGTGAACAGCTAAGTCTCACCTAGCCCATCTAAAAATTAATCTAAACACAGCCAAATCTAGAAAGTACACATGTGGGGACGGAGATTTAGCTCAGTGGTTCTGCCACCTGCCTCGGAAGTGCAAGGACCCGAGTTCAATCCCCAGTACCAAAAAGAAAGAGAAATCCCAATAGAAAGTACACATGTGGAAGGATGAGAGATATTGTTTCAAAAGAAATACAAAACCACAAAACACTTAGGATAAGACTATCTAAACTGTTATAATATGAAATGAGGTGCTTCCTGGACCCATTTCCTATTATTAAGCTCTGGTCACAGCATTAATCTTTTCTCATTATCTTGGAACCTAATCAGGAACTCCAATGACCATCTTATCTGAACATCTATCATACGACTAAAGACAAGATTAGAAGGTACCCAAAGGCAAGTTAGAATCATGCAAAAATGACATTGTGGAGGGGCTGGGGATTTAGCTTAGTGGTTCTGCCACCTGCCATGCAAGGTCCCAAATTCAATCCCCAGTACAAAAAAAAGAATGACATTGTGGGATATACCTGTAAAGTGAAGAGGTGAATGACCAGCCAGTTTAATGCCCCACAAAATACAATTAGGTCTGATTGTTTCCAGCATAAGAGATTAATACCTATAATGTATAACAATACTTTTACCCAGCAACAACAAAATCATATTAAAAAATGGGCAAAGGCCGGGGATTTAGTTCAGTGGTGGCTGCTTCCTGCCTCACAAAGAGAAGGTCCCGAGTTCGGTCTCCAGTACCCAAAACTTAAAAAAGGGGGTGCTAGATTTCCCTTGCCTTAAAATGGCTACTACATAAAAGAGCAGCCTCTTCCTTGCCATAATGCTCTGCACCTTAACATGGCTGCCACAAGGAGTAGCAGCCTCCTTCCCATAATGCCCTGTTAAAATATGGCTTCTCCCACCAAAGGACAGTCTTCTTCTTCCCAACGAGGCCCCTCTTCTGATCAAGAAAGGTAACTTGATACTTGCTACCTCCCAGCAACTAGTGATGTCACAAGCCCCTCCTAGTGATGTCACAGGCTCCTCCAATCCCTTAACACTACCTCACTCAACTCCACCCCAGCTCAGGCTAACCCCACCCTGATCCTATAAAAGAAGCTCCCTGTTCTGCCATGTTGCTTTTCTCTCCTTTGTTTAGAGACAGCCTGGTAGATACTCCCCATAATAAAGGCTTGTTATGGTCCTGGACTGGTCCTGGATTTCAGCTTTTTACCTAACAGGGGGTAGGGGAAAATAACTCATGCATTACTTCAAATCTTCATAAATGGATCAAAGAGTCATAAATGGACAAAAACACACAAGAAGACACTCAATGACAGTCATTAACAAAATGAAAATCAAACCTTCAATGAGAAATCATTTTACACCCATACTATATAAACAAAATAAAAAATGATTCACAATGAGGTGGTAAAATATTAACAATTGTGTACTGATGGTAGGAATGTAAAAAGGTACAGTGGTTATGGAAGATGATGGGGTATGGCAATCTTAAAAAGCTTATTCATGCCTATAATCCCAGGACTTTGGGAGCCTGAAGATCACAAATTTGAGCCCAGCTAGGGCAACTTAATGATTTAGTGTCTTAAAAATAAAATAAAGTGTTTGTAGATGGGGAGGGGAGAAGGGGGTGA